CCAGGTACACCACTACGCACTCGTCCAGCAGGGGTCGTAAGATGTGATTCATCTCCGCCTGAAACGTTGCTGGTGCGTTGCAGAGTCCGAACGGCATCACCAAGTATTCGTAGGAGCCGTATCTGGTACGGAACGCCGTCTTGTGGACCGAGTTGTCTGCCATCTTGATTTGCCAGTAACCCGATCGTAGGTCCAGCTTCGAAAATACTGTTGCTCCACGCAGTTGATCCAGTAGGTCGTCTATGCGCGGTATGGGATATTTGTTTTTGACTGTCTATTTGTTCAGTGCGCGGTAGTCGATGCACATCCGTAAACTGCCGTCTGGCTTCGGAGTGAAGAAAACTGGTGCACCGTAGGGAGAGGTGGATGGGCGGATCAGCTGTCTGTCCAGTAGATATTCGATCTGTTTCTTCATGTCTGTTAGTTCGGTCGGACTCAGTTGGTATGGTGTACGTGAGACGGGTTTCGCACCTAGTTCCTCCACGATCTCGTGCTCGTGGGTGCGTGCTGGAGGTACGCCGGCGGGTAGGTCTTCGGACATTATATCCTTGTACTGCTCCAAGACCTCCTTTACTGCTGCAGGGAGCTCGGAACTCGGCTTCTCCTCCCCTGCTGCTGCCATAACCAGTGCTAGGTAACCCGTATTACTCTCGTTCACTGTCTGTTCGAACCGTGCCAGTGTTGTCTCCGGCACGTCCCCTGTATCCGTCCAGCTTCGTAGTGCTATCCGCTTCCCGTTGTTGTAGATGCACACCTTGCTGTTGATCCAATCGATCTCGGGATTGAATCGCTTCAGAAAATCTCGCCCCAAGATGAAATCTAACCCTTTGATGTTGGTGACTGGTAGCTTCGGCTTCCACCTCAATGCACCTATATGCAGCTGCAAAGATGCTTCGCCGTGGATAGGAAGCTTCGTACCGTCCACCATGGTTGCTGAAAACTGGGTCCCCTCTGCCTTCTCTCCAATTTTCTCCAATGCTCTGCGGTCACACACCGAGTGGGATGCACCACTGTCCACCAGTGCCTGGAGGCGTCGCCCATTGCATATCACCTCGAGGAGTAGTGGTTTCTGCTGCGCTGAGTAGCCAAAGAGGGTCTCATTAATAGGATCATAGGGTACATCAAACTTAATACCTTCCCTTTTTCCTATACCTGACTCAGCGCTTTCCAACTTCACCTGGGGGGAAGGAGGAGTTTTCCGAGGCTTGTATGCTTTCTCCTGAGCCTGGATGTTTCCTCTAAGCCTTGATAGCTGTGTAGGCCTCACGTGTGGGCAACGGGGAGCCTTAACACTGTGCTGCGGGGAGAGAATATTAACTCCACGGAACGCACGACCCTTTTCTACGCTCCGTAGTACTTTGCCCAACTTCTCAGGTGCCTGAATCATTTCTAGAGGCTTTTTCTTGGCCTCTAAATCTCCCCTGATTTTTTCAAAGGCTTGAAAACCACGAGAAGCAATATTCTTTGTTAGAGTATCTTTATAGGATACTTTTAACGAATTCTTACTTTCGTGGGTGTTCGGCTGGAGTTTCCCGGTCGGTGCAGAGTCTTTTTTCGCGGAGCCTCCATTCGCCTCGGCGATTTCCCCTGATGCCGGCCGGTCGTGACGTTTTAGATTCGCGCCATCATTTTCTCCTTTTTTCACCTGCTCCGAAGTCGCCACGTCGTCGCCTTTCTTTGCTTTTCGGATCTTTACGCGATCGCCAGGTCGATCCGTGGCTACTGGCGATTTCCGTTTTTTTACTTCGGGGGTGCTCCACTGTTACCGTCCCGGAGTGCCGCACGTGCTTTCTTCATTTTGTAGCACGACAAGATTTGATGCCCTGCTGCGCCGCAAAATTCGCATTTCGCCGACAGCTGCTTCGCGTCAAACTTGTCGATATCCATCGGTTCGGCGAACGTGGGGGGTGCCGATCGCTCCGTGCCGAATGTACGGTTCGGCGCGAAACGCTGTGTTTCGGGTTGACCTCGAGTCAGCACATCGTATCGCTCGGCAGCACGCACGATGTCTCTGTAGCTGTCGTAATTCGCCGCGATCACCTGCCGTCGAATCTCTATTTTTAACCCTTCTGTGTACGTCTGGATTTTTTCACCTTCGGTCAGGTCGGTGATGCGGTTGAACAGGCTCTCCATCTGCTGCGTGTACTCTGTTACACTGCCAAACTGTTTATGCCGGTGAATCTGCTGCCGCGCCATGTAGCTGGAGTTGATTGGTTCGATGCGTTGAATTAAAGCTTCCCGAAACTGCGTCCATGATCCCTCGCCTCGGATCTTATTGCTGTTGTAAATCCACTCGAGCGCCGGGCCTCGTAACAGTGTCGTTGCGAGCCGAATCCGCATTGCATCGTGTGTCGGGGTCGTACAGCCAACGGCCTCGAAGTAAATTTCGAGGGTGGCCACAAATCGCCGGACGTCGGATCCTTTTGCACTTGGATCGAACGCCTCAGGGAGCCTCGGTCGTGCTGCTTCGAGGTTTGGCGACGGTGGTGCCATCGGTCCGTGAAATGTCGGTGTCGCCACTTCTGCTGGAGTTGTCGGTGTTGCAGTCGCTGCGGTCGCTACTGCTGCGGTGGCGAACCCTGGTTGGCTTGTCAGAAAAGCCTCGACTCGACGAAGCGTCGCCTGCGTCTGCTCCATGTCGGTGCGAAGGCTCGCGATGTCACTCGTGGTCGCGTAGTTGTCGCCTTGGCCCTCCATGCCTGAAATCAACGCGTCCAAAAACCGAATCAAGGGGGAGCGAAAAAATACGGAACCGGTTTTACGTACCCGAAATCCATGTTTAACTGCGTCGCCCCCGCGGTTTTTGAAGACTGGTTTTTAGCGGTCGAAAGAACTTCGCGTGTAAACAAGCTCTGATTACCAAATGTGAGGATCTAGGATCGAGCTCAGAAAAGAGAATGTCAATTCAATGATCACCTGGGTACAACACGAGGCTATATATAGGCTCGACACAAGGCCCCGTAACCAGGTGTTACACGAAGGTTCCGCGGGTCGCGAAGCGTCCCGAATAGATCCTTCCCGGATTCGGTAGAAGGCAATTCGGTGGCAACCGAAAAGCCAGAATTCGGTGCACGCAACCTAGCTTGATGCTATAACTATAATAAAATATAGGAAAGCACCTAGCCTAGGAAATCAAGCAGTTCATGCATGCATATAATTATCCTATGCTAGAAATAGCATAATAAAGTAAAAGCAAGCAAGCATAGCTGGCATAAGCCGTCGTACTCTCACAATGTACGTCGACGACTTGGTCTTTGCCACAGCTGACACTGCTGGACTCGCCCACGTGAAGTCCGAGCTGCAGAAGAGACACACGTGCACAGACCTGGGTGAACTGCGCAGCTACCTTGGCTTGCAGATCACCCGGGACAGAGCACGCCGCACCATCACCCTGACTCAGTCACACATGGTGCAGCAGGTCCTTCAGCGCTTCGACTTCACGTACTCCTCGCCTCAAGCCACTCCTCTGTCTACTCGCCACTCGCTCTCAGCTCTGCCTTCGGATGAGTCCGTAGAGTCGAGTGGCCCGTACCCAGAGCTTGTTGGCTGCCTCATGTACCTGATGACCTGCACACGACCTGACCTTGCATACCCTCTTAGCATTCTCGCACGCTATGTTGCTCCTGGGAGACACCGACCAGAGTACATGGCTGCAGCGAAGAGGGTGTTGCGCTACTTGTGCAGTACGTCGGGCATGGGGCTAGTGCTTGGAGGGCGGAGTCCAGTGGTCCTCACTGGTCACGCAGACGCTTCTTGGGCTGACGACCAGGCTACGCAACGGTCGTCACAGGGTTACACCTTCAGCCTTGGTTCCGGCTCTGTTTCGTGGCGGGCTACTCGCTCGTCTTCTGTTCTCGGCTCCAGTTGTGAGGCTGAGATCTACGCAGGGGCCATGGCTGCTCAGGAGCTTCGCTGGCTCACCTACCTGCTGACCGACCTTGGAGAGCCGCCTCGTTCTCCTCCAGTCCTGTACGTAGACAACAAGGCCATGCTGGCCTTGTGTCGAGAGAAGAGACTGGAGCACCTAACAAAGCACATTGCTCTCCGCTACTTCCTTGCTCGTGAGCTACAGCAGCGTGGTCAGTTGCGACTTGCGTACGTGGCCTCTGAGGCCAACACTGCTGATGTCTTCACCAAGGCACTTCCGCCTTGTGATCATGAGCGCTTCTGTACCCAGTTGGTTCTTGTGCTTGTCTTGCCTCACTTGCTCTCCTCTTGACCCTCTTTGTACTGTTACATATATATATTGCTGCTCTTGCTTGTTTAGCCTTATATATATATGTACTCCTGCATGTGAACTGGCCTTGTGGCCTTGAACTTGTGCTCGGAATGTGTGGTGACGTTGTGATCCACCCTGAGCTTTCTTTGCTTTGCTCTACTTGACTGGTCTTGTGACCCCTAGTTCTCCCCCACTTCGCCTATGGGGGTGTGTCAAACATTATATATGTTGTTGTAGTTATTTAGGCTACAGTGGGTTAGCTTATAGGGGGTACACATTTCTAGGGTTTCCTATTTGTACTCATTTCACTGTTAGTTCATCCATTCTTGTTAAACAAGGTGATCGTTCGGGACAGGGGGGCGAGGGGTCAGCACAAAGGGAAGTAGGCAGCGGACGCCTAGGTCGACGAACGCTGCCCCGACTGTTCGTGACATGGTCGACGTGTCCGGTTTTGGGTGTTGTTGTATTGTTTTGTTTTGCCTCTCCGGCTTAGGGATGCTGAACTTGTTCGTCGGTAGTTTTTCAGAAACCTTGTGAAGTAGGTTTTGTGGTGGGAACATAGTGGAGTCGGTTTGATGCATGAACAACAGACAAACTTCTACTATTTACTAGTCGAAACAACGTTGGCAGTAAAAGAAAACCATATAGTATCACTAGAACAGGTCGGACACACTCAGCCCACCCCCAGCCCACCCTCAGCCCACCCTCGGCCCGCCCTCAACCCACCCTCAGTCACACCACGCTCAGCGAGCAGCACAAGTCGGACCCAGACGCACTACCCTCAGCCCGCCCTCTTGCGCTTCCCAGCGCCGGTGGCTCCAGCCGTCGCCTCGGCCTCCAAGCCGGCCTTCTTTGCATGCTCCTCCCACAAGTCGCCGAAGAGTCTCTTTCCCCACTCAGTGTCCATGTAGCCCGCCGTGACCACGCCCCACGCAACGGCGAGCTTCCTTGCCAGCGGCTTGTCCAGACCCTTGATGCCGACCGAATTTCTGTCGGCTGTGGTGGGGACCTTGATGGGCGGGGTTGCACGGAGGACCAAGAGAGCGTCGCTGAAAGTGGAAAGGCCCGCTCGCCCCAGGTGGTCGAGTAGCTTGATGACGGCGGCGGTGTCAGCGTCGTCATCGCTCCGCCGCAAGTCGTGCACCGCTTCCATGATCCGCCTCATCTGGCGAGTGCAGTGCTGCAGCACATCGTTTTTCCCCGTCTCACCCACCTCGGTCGTGCGACATCCGTCGGTTGGCGGTTGTCGGCCACGAGAGCTCTTCGCCGACTTCGCCGACGCTGCGGGTTTGTCGCCCTTTTCGACCTTGTAGATCATGCGCGTGTGTCTGATGAGGAATCTGTGCTCCTCGTAACGTTCGCGCAAGGGACGCTAGTCGAAGTTGGACGGGTTGTTCCACCAGCGCCAGACAGCCACGACTGTCTTGGACGTGCGCCAGGGATGCACGACGTTCACCTCGTACGTCAGGTCATCGTCCTGTTCCTTCTCGATCTTGACGGGCGCTGCCTTCTCGGCGGTGGTCATCGGCCTTGTGGTCGGGGGTGTAGGCGCAGTCGGCCGTGCGTCGGCCAGCTTGAGAGCCTGCATCAACCTCGCGATCTCTGCGTCCTCCTCCAGCTGCTTTTGCATCCCAAGCTTCTCAATTGCAACATCCTCTCTCTGGCGGTGCAGCATCATGGTGAGCTGGTCGACCTGATGGAAGGCGTCGACTCGCGCGCTAAATTCCTGCGATCCAAGGGGAATGGTCGGCAAGCCGTCAGCAAATGTAGCAGGATGACTGGTTTGACAGGTAACCGCAACGCGCTCGCCGTACCTCTAGGGGGTTCTCGGTTGGAGTACCGCGCGTGGCGATGGTCTCGAGGTCCACCCGATTGACGTCCTTGGCCCATTTTTGGAAGTCGGGGTCGCGGCAGAGCTTGGAACTCTGGACGTATGGGTGCCACGGCTCGCGTATCAGCATGCACGCCAGATCCTCGGCAACGATTCGGCGGCCGAACTCGATGAGCGATTGCAGGAAGTGCACCCCGGCCGTGTTGGGCTCTCTCGCGGTGGCGCAACTTACCGCCTGCGTGTCGAACACAAACACAAACACAAGCAACCATCGGTGGAGTGTCGGCGTGGAAATGGTCGGCGAGAAGTCGGCGTCTCAGCGTCTGAAATGCTCACCTTGTCCAGTTCCGCTTCAGCCCAGGGAAAGATATGCTGGGCGATGAGGGCCACCACCTTGGGGTCGGGCGTCACCAAGCTGCGGCCGAGGTGGTAGTCGCCACACTTGCCCGTGTAGCCGGCCTTTCTTTACACCGCCGCCTTCGAGATGGTCGTGATGTAGCTCTTTGCAAGCTTGTCGAGCGTCCAGTGGCCCAAGTCGGCGATGTCAGATCGCGGGACTCCATCGTCGGCCAGCTCCTGTGCCCCACCTGCCCAGGCGGCGTGGGTGTTGCGCGTGAGAGGCGCTGGGGAAGCGGGAAGAGGCGTTGCAGGCGGATCTGCATCAATGGCTTCCGTTTCAACATCAGCTAAGGATGATGTGAAGGCATTCAACCTGGAGAAGTTCTCTGGGGATGATTGGGCATCATGGAGCTTTAGGATGGAGCTCCTCTTCAACCATTATGGGCTGCTTGAAGTGATGGATGGAGAATTGAAGAGGCCTGCGAGCGAAGGAGCGACCAAAGAATGGGATCGCCGGTCCAAGGATGGATTCTTCCTTCTCTCCCAATGCCTCTCGTCCAACCAGCTGCACCACATCAAGCATCTCATCAAGGAAGTTGAGTGTGGTCCTAAGGCATGGAAGATATTGAAGGATGTCCATGCCCCCAGCAGCGAAGCTATGGTGGTGGTGCTCGAGCGACAACTCCATGCGGTAAAGATCAACGAGGGTGATGCTGTGCAAGGAGCGTTCGATCAACTCTGGGACCTTTATGTGAAGCTCTCTGCTGCTGGTGTGGACTACCCTGAAAAAATCAAGTGCTACAAGGCTCTCTCCCTGCTGCCGGAGTCGTGGGGGCCCCTGGTGGTCAACCTTAATGGCATGAAGGACTCGTGGTCCCTTGAGTGGATTCGCGCGCAAGTTCTTCAAGAGGAGTTTTGGAGGAAGGAGCTGACCGCCGCTGCCGGTGAAGGTGGAGGCTCTGCCTATGGCATGAAGGGCTTCAAGGGGCGTGGCAGCAAGAAAGGCAAGGCCAAGGAAGGCTCTGGAGGGGAGCAGCATTTGGGAGGGAAGCGTGGCAACAAGGGAGGCAAGCGGTGTGGCGGCAAATGTTGGTATTGCCATGTGGAAGGTCACCCATGGTTTAAGTGCCGCAAGTTACCTGACGGTTGGAGGCCTGGTCAGCCATCAATTGAGGGCTCCAAGGGTGTTCATGGAGCTATGGGAGAAGGCGTGGGCAGTGAGGAGGGCGATGGAGGTGCTGGCGGATACGGCGGCATGTTCTACCATGTAGGAGAGGCGTGCTCCGAGGACATGGTTGTGCCGGCCAGCAAGGTTGCTCTTCACCTTTCCTCCCATTGGGTCATCGACACGGGAGCCTTCATGACCATGACCAACCGAGAGGATCTACTAGATGAAGTTAGGCCATCAAAGGCAGCCACCGTCGTTTCAGCCACCGGCCAAGTTGTACCCGTGCGTGGCGAGGGGAGAGCCATGTTCATGGGTGCGGATGGGAGGCTTGTGGGGCTGAAGCGTGTTCTCCTTGTTCCTGGATTGTGTGCCAACCTCCTCTCTACCAAGGCCCTAAGTGAGGCAGGGATGAAGATGGAGATGTTGGGCACAAAGGCTTTCAAGGCAACTCTGGATGGGCGCGTATTGTGGGACCTCCGAGGCGGCAAGGACATGCACCGGTCCATGTGGGAGATACCGGTGCTGCCATGGAAGGAGGCGGCTACACGCTTGGCTGCTGAAGATGTGAGAGGAGGGCGTGTTAACCACGTGGACAATGGAGGGGGTGGTGATGACAGTGATGGTGGGCTCCTTGGGCATGGAGGGGCTGCGCTTCCAAGTGTAACTCCTAGCACGAGTGAGACGGATTGGCTCACCGCACACCGTCGCTTTGGCCACGTGGCGCTACCTCAGTTGCAGCAGCTGTTTAAGGAGGAAAGAGTCCAGGGGCTGAGGATAAAGGGGGAGCCCAAGGAGGTGGGATCTTGTGAGACTTGCTTGACCAGCAAGTTTTCACGGTTTCCCTTCCATTCGGTGGAGGGGAAGTCGAGTGACCTGGTGGAGCTCGTGCATGTGGATCTCGTGCATGTGGATCTCGTGGGACCCATGAAGGTGGGGGGAGATGGTGGGGCCCTGTATTCCATGACCATGATGGATGACAACACAAGGCTCACCTGGTCCTTTCCACTTGCAAAGAAGAGTGATGCTGCAAGGGTCATCATTGAAGAGTGGCTGCCCATGGTGGCGGCAAGCGGGTGAAGGCGATTCGTAGCGACTGTGGTGGGGAGTTCTTGGGAGCGGAGTTCCGGAGCTGGCTGAAGCGGCACGGCATTAAGCAGCAGCTCACCACGGCCTACATCCCTCAATCCAATGGCGTGGCAGAGAGAGCGAACCGGACCATCTTGGAGGGCGGGAGAACGATGTTGGTAGACTCGGGTCTACCCTTACAATTCTGGCCCCTCGCTATTCGCCATGCCACCGTCATCAAGAACCGAGTATTAACTCATGTGGGAGGGCAGCATTGGATCCCCATGGAGAAGTGGAGAGGCAAGAAGCCCCTGGTGGATATGCTTCGAGTCTTTGGGTGCATGGGACTCGTGCACGTCCCTAAGGAGAAGCGTGACAAGCTTCAAGCGGCGGCGGTGTGGGCTGTTCATTTGGGACTTGCACAAGGGAGCAAGAGGTGGCTCATGTGGGACCCAAAAGCCAACACCATCTTCAGCACCAGAGATGCCAAGTTCATGGAGGGGCTCATGTTCAAGGAGTGGTTGGAGCGAGGGAGGAGCAAGGTCACCATTCCGCTCGGAATAGAGGTGGGAACGAATGACCCACTCCTCATTCCCATCTAGTTGTCTTCATCTTCAGAGGTAACGGAGGTGTCACATGAATTGGGAGGTGCTGAAGGGGAGGCAACAGAGGTGGAAGGAGTTTTGCAGCAAGAGGAGGCCCCTGTAGCTGAGAGAGGTGATGCCGGGGAGGAGGTGCATCAGCCAACATCATCCCCTTCACTTCCATCAAGGCGGACAACCCAAGGGAAGCGTGGTGCTGTCCGCGGTGGAGCTAAGGAGGGTGCAGCCAAGGAGAGGCCCAAGAGAGCTGCTCACCCAAGGGATTTCCTCAAGTATGAAAGGCTTGGGGGTCCCAAGGCATTGCTGGTCCAGGAGGAGGAAGATGATGAGAAGGGAGCCGAGGGAGAGATGGAGCAGATTTGTTGCTTCGGTGTCAACTTACCTCATGAACCGGCTTCAATGGAGGAAGCACTTGCTGGAGATGATCGAGAGGCTTGGTTGGCTTCAAGGGAGGATGAGTTTCAGAGCCTCATGGAGAATGGAACATGGACCCTCACTGATCTGCCCCCTGGAAGAAAGGCATTGGATTGCACGTGGATATTACGTGTGAAGACCGATGCGGAGGGGAAGTTGGAGAGGCGCAAAACAAGACTTGTGATCAAGGGTTTCCAGCAGAGGGAGGGGGTTGACTTTAAGGAGGTGTTTGCTCCTGTTGCCAAGGCTCCTACGCTTTGGGTGTTGCTGGCAGCAGCTGCCGTTTGTGGTTGGAAGGTGGAGCAAATGGATGTGAAGACGGCTTTCCTCTATGGCGTGGTAGATGAGGAGATCTACATGAAGCAGCCAGAGGGGTATGACGATGGGAGCGGACGTGTTTGCAGGCTCAACAAGGCCCTCTATGGCCTCAAAAAAGCTCCAAGGTGCTGGTATGCAAGGCTGGTGGAGGCTTTGGAGGCTCTTGGTTTCAAAGTCAGCGGGTGCGACGAGAGTCTCTTCATGACCGAGGGGAAGGAGGAGAAGGTGTTTCTTCTTGTCTACGTCGATGACATTCTCCTCTTCTCTCCATCACTAGAGAGGATCAAGGAGGTGCAAGGGAAGCTGAAGGAGACCTTTAAATGCAAGGCCCTTGGACCAGTGGGGTATTACCTTGGTCTTCATGTGGAGCGGGACGAGGTGAAGGGATGGTTGAGGCTTCACCAACACAAGTACCTTGCAGCCATGGGGGAGAGGTATGGGCTGGAGGAAGGGAGGAGTGTGAAGACTCCTCTACCCTCAGGGTTTCAGCTACACCTTGATGAAGAGGAGGGTGAGGTGTTGGAGCCCGAGTTGCAGCGTCGGTTCCAGTCAATGGTGGGGGGCTTGATGTATGCTTCGGTCAACACTCGCCCCGATATTTCATTCGCGGTTTCGCAGCTGGCTCGTGTGGTGTCTAGGCCCCTTCAAGAGCACCTTGATGCAGCAGAGAGGCTGGTGAGGTACTGCATGGCAACCTCAAGGGTGGGGCTGCAATATTCAGTGCATGGGCAGCTGAAGCAAAAGGGAGTGGAGGAGGTGAGCACGAAGACCGGTGCACCTGCAAGGCGTGGACACTTGTACCTCTCGTGCTTCACCGACGCTACATGGGCAAGTGACATCAGTGATGCAACATCCCATGGTGGCTATGTATGCTGTGTTGGAGGGAGTCCAGTGAGCTGGAAGTCTAAGAAGCAAGGGGAGATAGCTCACTCATCAACGGA